TTTCACACCACTCACTGGAGAATATTTGAATATAAGCAAGTCATTTTTCCTTAAAATAAGTGCACTTGTTCTTGAATTAAGCTGGTAAGCGTGACAACAGAAATCTCTTATTTCAGGTGCATAATGTATTCTTATTTTAGGAGTAAAAATCTAATTCAATTGGCATATCCTCTTATTAACCTACTCAAATTAGCAGTAAATACACATATTTTAAGACATTTCTACTTATTTTTAGATAATTTTTGCTGTGAATATTTTGATGCAGAATTAAAGCAAATATTCAAGAACGTATTCAAAAGACAGAGCAACAGTGCTATGCCTGTTAAGTAGAGGGAGATGGTGCAGGACGAAATTGCCGCTCGAGTTAATGCACAAGTTTATATGGAGTTTGTTGTTTTGATATTTACCTAAAAAGTGCATCCTCTCCGTTGTTCTATTTGTAGATCAGTAAAATAGGATTCTTTCTGGTCAAAATCACAATCTTAGTCGGAATTGTAGTAATATATTTTCTAAATAACATTTTTGTCAGCAGAAACTGAAAACTGAATGTCAAAAAACAACAAAACACAAGTAAGAATTAAGTTTCAGAAACCTAGAAATGTTTACACATTTTAAGCAGGAGTTTTGACACTTATTAGCTTAGGTGAATATGTATGTCTGATATAGGAAATACACTTTCCTTTAGATGTCTCCTTAAGATTTCAAAGGAACAAATTTCTAGACATGCAGAATATGTATTTTAAATTTGAAAAATTTATTTTCTTTTAAATGTTAATTTTGACTAGGAAGAAATGTATTTTAGATGTCAGAAAAATATATTCCTTTAAACTAATAAATATCAAACTTGCCTGCCATAGCCTGCTTTATTCAAAATAACATTACAGGGGGAAACTAGTTTATTGTTTGAATGGTATTGTTTCATTGTATTATATTTCGGTGTAATCCCAGAGGAGAAGAGCATCTCTCAGCATGTAAAGGTTTTTTTAAACAGGTAGGACCTGTGTATCATCTCATGGGGTTCCTCCTCATTTTGATCATGTCTTCCATTACAAAGTAATACTAAGTGGGTGTTTGACTGTGCAGTTTTTTTTTTTATATATGATGTTGTTTTCCCACATCATTATTCTTTCACTGATATCAAGTTTTGTTATTTGACCGTGTAATGCTGCAAATGTGAGGATGGGTAAGGTCTGGATGTATGTGATGGATTGTCAGGTGAAACGGTAGCTCCCATAAAGATAACCTTCTGAATATGAAAGATAACTTTCTGAATATGTTTATTTTCTGTGAATTACTGCCACTCCATTAATTGGATCCTCATCTAAAGGATAAACTAGTTGTGTTTTAAACATCTAATTTAGAGTTAGACAAACTTTATTGTCACTTTGAAAATAAATCTAATAGACGTACGGTTTTTTGTTATTGTTCACGCAGAACTACCAAAGAACTATCCTGACTGAATACAGGAAATTGAACAGTGTGATTGGCTTTAGTGAGGGTGGAGACAGAGGACATTGAGTTTATTGTGGACACCTGCTCCTGGCCAGATTAGCTTTAGGCAGAATGTTTCTATGGTAACAGAGACAGAGGTTAAAAAAAAGTTTTTTTTGAAACGGAAAATTCAGATTTTCCCTAATTACATGATTGTGAAACTTGGAGTTTTCATTAAGCCTGCTTCATAAAGTGGACCTCAGATATGTTGAATGCACAATTAATAATTGTAGTTATGTTTTTGAATGATGAATTCATGACTTTTTTAAATGTTACTTTTTTCGTCTAAACTTCTAAACCACCTATTTTTCTGATCAATCTGATGTGTTCCTTAAACATCTTCACCGCAGAAACAGAACCGCTGTGATTACACTGACAGGTTTCCTTATTAGTTGACCTCTGAGGGCAATTATTAAACTTTTTTCTATTTCAGTGGTATTGGATTATATGGGTATGAATATCAGGAGCTATCACAGATTTTCACCTTCGAATTCATATCAGACATTTGTAAAACAACTTTGTAACTTTGTATTTGCAAAAACAAATTATTAAAAAAGTAAGAGGGATGTGGATAAATTTATTGCAACACACTGTGTTAAGTTTTTAATTGAACACTCATTGGGTCAGTCAAGGCTTATGATTGGCTGAATGGATTTTAGATAACATCTGACTTAGAGATCTGCACTTTAGTTTAGCTACCATCTGCTTCAGTTTGGTTGCAGAGGTATGAAAGCAGCCAAGGAGGTCACAGGGGAAAACCCTTTGAAGTGCATTATGTCTGACCTTCAACTCTGCCAGTAATTGAAGCAGCGCTGCTGTATCTGAACTGATTAGGGATGTGCCCAGCTGTATCCGACTGGTTAGAAAAAAAAACTTCCTCAGCACAGCACAGTGCAAATCTCTTAGGCTGCCAAGAAATAACAGTACTAATCTGCAATAATTGGCCAGCATTAAAGAGTTAGTCTAGATATAAGGGGATGTTAGGCATTTAATGGGTAAAATAGGATCTCAATTAGGGTAAAAAGGGGTTGACTTAGTTCCTATTAGAGCTGGCCAGCAAAATATAATCGGCAGCCAGAAAGCAATTTCACTGCTCTGTGGAAAGAGTAAATAAGGGTAAATAAGGCTAAACAGAGCTTACGTGTATGTTTGGACTCACCCCATTCTAACTGGACTTCCTTGTGTTTGGCTTTCCCAACAATCCGCGGCGGCTTGCAGGGTCCAGGTGGGACACTTAATGTATGAACTGGAACACTAACGGTGCACTGCCAGAGCAAAGGAGAAATTACATTTTAAGAGTAAAAGAATAACTATTTATACCACCTGGAATTATAAAAAATATTTTTCCCCATATTATTGCAACGATGGTAATAAATGAGCTGCCTCTGTGTATTATAGCATAATGTAACCAAAATAACCCAAATCTGTATTTTTTACATCATGCTGAACTTTTTTTTTTACAGGCTCGGGCCTCCACTGGGCTTAAAACAGCTTTTCTGAGATCCAGCAAAACTGGAAATCCAAAGTTCATGAGTCACTACAGTAAATTGCTGTCTGTGTGACTTACTGGGCTGTGTCCCCCGGTGGTGATGCTACATACACGTAGGCGGTAAACGGTTCCTGGTGTCAGCCGCTCACACACGCATTCTGTTGCGGGGCCACTGTACGCCACTTCCCACTGGCTTGCTGCAAAACATCAAATGCACGCCACACGCATAATTATGACACTTGTCACATTCATGTGGAAGATTGCACACAATCAATCCCCGGGCTGTTTTTTTTATGTATCTTTGTCATCAGCCTATTTATACTGTCCCAACATCCCATTAGGAAGTTTATATATACACAATGTTTCTTTGTCTTTGTTGTTTTATTGAATTATGGAAGGAAAGTGCTCTCTCTAAAATGCTAAAAATCAACAAAAACATCTTTTTATTACCAAGAATTGAACAATATAATTACATCATCACTGATCAGTCTTCTCTCAATTATTGTATTATAAATATATAGTTATGATTAAGACTCATTTATTTCTTAATCATGATGTATGAATTTTCCTTTTGCATTTGAAATGGACATGGTAGTATTATAAATTTTATATTACCTGTTCCAGGATGCTAACGTCCTGTTTTGCTGATTAAATTATGTTAAAATTATTAAATATGTAAGTGGATTTAAATAAAAGACATCAAAAGTAAAAAATCTAGAAACATGTATGCTGACCATGGAGGGTTTTCTCATGTACTGCATTTACCTTCGGAGCATCCTTCAGAAATCTCTAGGAGATAAGTGAGAGCATCTGAGCCCCCATTGTCCAAGGGTGGATCTGTAGGGGAAATTGATAAACCTTTTTTATGTTTAGGGTAATAATTTTTTTCATGATATTTACTTGATAAAATATTAATTACAATGATATCGGGGAAAAAATGTGCAGTAGAGTAGAAATGAAATATAATGCATAGTCCTGTTAGGCAAAGGACACGAAAACATAACAGATGAGAAGAAAACCCAATAGCTCTGTTTGCCACATATTCATCTATAGAATCATATTTTAAATTAAGAAAACCAAACACAATTGAAGTTTTTAAAATCATGTTCACATTTCCAATGTTTTGTCTAAGCAGATAATTAGTATTTTGATTTAAGGTATGTCCCTCCTAAACTACATTGCACAGCCACATATGTATGATTGAATGTTATCTGGAACTTGAGTTACCTGCTTAATGCAGACAAAAGGGGATTTTCTTTAAGGTACGTGGTGAGCTAATGATGGGGTGAAGTAAAAGAAAAAGTGAATAGGGTGGTCTTCGCTTTGTTCGGCAAAAAAGAATTTATGGCCCAGGATTATTAGGCAATTACAGTCATGAATTCAAGAGAAGGAACAAATCAAGGCTGAGGGGCAACAACACAATGCAGCTAATGTCAGGAGATGACAGAGAGCTGTAACAAAGTCTGCAGCATAAAGTTTGTCAAGTTAGACAAGGGGTTATCTTATTGCTGAAAAGTGGGAGTTCCTGCTGCTTCCAATTACTGCTGCGTTGTTGAACACAAGCATCGCCGTGCTGGCTAATGTAAAGCCATAGTGACAGTTATCGGGGCAGAAGGAAAGTGCTGACAAGCAACCACTCTCAGACAACAATCCCCCTGGTTTATTTCTCTTACTGAACAAATTACCAAATAAATCAGAGGCTTGTGACCTCACAGTCAAGGTTGAGACTGTGCCATGATTACTTTCTCCTTGAGCTGCACTATGTTATGCATTAAGGCAGAGTTTGCTTTTTGTTCCTTCAAACTTTACAATTAAAAATGAAAAGTTAAAAAAATTGATGATGTGCTTTTTAAAGAAATATTTTATAACTTCAGACTGCCTAAAACCACATTACCCCCCACATATTGATTCAAAGACATTATATGAAATCATATTTTGCATAATTCCAGACAGTTTTGTTTGTAATGTTTAAACTATATAGGTATCTACTGTAAAACTTTAATAAATAGATATTTTTAACATATAAATGTTCAAAATATAGAACATTTATATAGAATATAGAATAATAGAACACTTCTATATGCTAATTAATAATCCAGATTATTACAACTGTTTAAAAAAATGTCAAAAAAGAGATAATCTTTCTAAATAAATAATTGCAGCAACTTTCTGTCAAACAGGTTCTGTTTTATAACTTAAAATATACATCTAACAGTAATGAAATGGTTTCAAATATTACCCCACGTGACAGTAAAGCCATAGGGTGTAACTCCGGTGACTTTGGGTGTCGATGGAGGGCCAGGTTTGTCTGGATTGGTGGTGCACACCAACACTTCACTGGGGCTGCTTTTACCTTCCACATTTGACGCAATCAGCTGCAACAAGAGCAACAGAGAGAGCAGAGAGTTAAACACTGGCAACAAGAGTTGCAACAAGGTAGGAGACAATAAATAAGGATAGAAAACAAGGAAAGCAGGTTGAGGTGGGGGGGTTAAATGCTGAGGTGAATCTATAAAAAGGTTTAAAAAAAGCACTTGTGAAAAATAAGGGTCATTATAATTTGCTTCTTTCTCCTGTGCTTCACCGTCTTTATCTTCTTTGAAATACCCTTTCCAATGGACAATCAATTTCCTTTGTTCCAACACATTCACACGGGATGGGAAGAACAAAAAGATCTCCTAACGGCCTCTTTGCACGTGATCACGTCTCACTGCATCATCAGACACCTTGTCTGCCCGTTTGCATGGAGGCACATTGGGAAGTTTTATTGTTGGTGATTGCACCATAAAGGACATGCGAATGCACTTAAAGAGACATGCTATTGGTACATTATGTTTCAGAATGTCCTCACATTATGGACAGATTTCATCAAGGCTTTTAGTAAACTTGATAAATAGCTGCTGAATTGTCTAGTTTCCCCTTTATAAATTGCCGGCAATCTAATGGTGGCAAAATGCCAAAGTCTGTCATGGATTGATGGATGTTGAGTCACACTGAATGACAACTAAATGCACCACTGCTTTTGGAATGATTATTTATTCTATGAGAATCAAAAGACTAGTGGGAATGCATTTGATCATGTAAGAACACTCATAGTTAACTCCATGTATCATTAACACAGGACCTTAGAGATGCATTTCTTTTCAACGGGTGCAATTAGGTGATTATTCAGAAGCAAAACATTGTGGTATGAAATGATAAATTCATAGTTAAAAGACGAGAGCAGCGTTGTGCATGAATGCATTCAATGAACAGCGTTATATGAATACGTTCATATTTTTAGTGAACAGTTAAATGAATGGATCAGTTTTGAAGTTATGAACATGAATGAGATTCTGAGAAGAATGAGCGACACGCACAGCTCACTTTCGCGTTCAGTTGATAACACCTTTCATTGGATAACGTCAGGTTTAACGGCACTTATTACAGCAAACAGAATGACAGACCAGCATACCTACTGCTAGTACTATTCTGCGCATTTTAGACTTATTGACTGGTATTTTTGATGCATGTTATGTGCAAAATGTTCCCATCGGGACTTAACAAGTCTGTACGTCCACCGCTTCCACTTCGAGTAAAAGCATCCAAGCTATCTTTGGAAAAATCTGCTACTGAATGAGGAACAAAAGCACTTGCATGTACCTGTATGTTTCTGAAGTTCTGTGTAATTGGGCTAAATAAAGGCTTCACTGCTCATACAGTATACATTGACTGCATCTAGTATTTTCCATTTATCTCTATATATTATGATCACACATTTAAAGGGTGAAGTGTGAGGTTTTATTTGTAGGATTGTTGCTAAATTTACCAAATGAACTTTTCTAGCTGTGTGAAATTTTCTGTGATAATTTTTTGAAAAAGTGAACAATGAACCTGAGCTAGTTTGTTTTCATCTATGTGAACTGAACCTTTTTTACTTATGAACTGGCAGAACATTGCCTACAAGATTGCACTAGCTGACTTCTGTAAAAAAGCTTAATGTTTTAATGAGACAAACATTGAGTTAAGCTTAGCACAATGACAAGAATATTGATTAGACAGGTGAAAGTGATGCTCTTAATTAAAAAAATCACTGTGCCAGCAATATGCTACGGGACTATTTTGCTGTTATTGCCATCTGTGCTTTGCTCAATATGGATTAAATAATCCAGGAGGATCACAATGAAACTTTTCAGTTTCATTCTAAACAGCAGCTTAATGACTGAATTATAATTTAACTGATTGTTGCAGCAGGAACTAATGCCAAACACAACTATATTAACAATTTATAGACTTTTGAGTGGGATCGCAATGCATTAAACATTGTGCAAAGGCAAAGCTACTCTTTAAACAGCTAAACGCACTAATACCTGTGCCACAATTTGACAACCAATTCATCTAAAACAGGTAAATATATTGAAAGATGTCCTATTTATAACTTTAAGTAAAGCTCCTTTAAAGGTAATTTAGCACTTTACTTTCTCCATCTGAGCAGGAAATTGACTTGTAGACTTAGGTTGAAAAAAACCTAGAACTTTAGTGAACACATCCAAGAAGCAGGCTCTTCTTTAGTCACAAACAACAGAACATTACCACAATCGGATGTAAACAAGAAACATTAATTGAAAAAACAATCTACAATCCACAAATATTACTGAAACATATGCAGACTCATACAGTACATATATTTTGATTATGTTTTTACTTACCCTGAATTTATACTGTGTACTTCTCTTCAGGCCTTGTACAGTACAAGTCAAGTTTTCTCCAGTGTACTTTGGATAAAAATCTGTTCCCTGTAGAAAATACACTGTGATTAATTATCCGTGCAATTAATATTTCACATATTAAACCTTCTAAAATCTATACTTTTCTAAATATCTCCCCTTTGTTTCATCCTATCCAAACAGAAGCTCAAAGCCTTTAGATAGTTTAGTCAAAAAATATGAAAATAAAAACTAGTTTTTAAAACCAATATATATACTCACGCTGTTGTCTTCCTGGATCTCGAGTGTGTATTTAAGCTGCTCTTCAGTGGAGCTGCCCTCAGGACGCACCCACTCCAGGGTCACCCAGGAGACCCCCGCTCTTACCAGCCGTGGAGCGAGGGGCAGGGAAGGCTGAGTCCCTGTGGTGTAGAACACCACCTCTGTACTGAAACCGCTGTAAAAAAAACAAAACAAAAAACTAGTCTTTTAATTCAGAAATTAGAAGAAAACAACTCGACTTGGGCAAACAGAAAAAATGGCAAGGAATCAGTAAATATGGGGAAATTAGATTGTTTTAATTCAAATATGCGAGTTGCAGGAGAAGATACTGGGATACAATGGAGTATTAGAGCCAGACTAGGGTTTTTCTTTTAGAATAAAGTTGTAATATGAGAATAAAGTAATACAATTACAAGAATAAAGTTATCATACCACAACCCGTTTCAGAAAGAAAGCTTTGAGCACTGACCAGCACAGGACCAGCTCCACCAAACAGAAACCTGAATCCACTTTGACATCCTGCCCAATTTGAAGCTGGTGTGCTACAAGACTTCCTTATTTGTCAAACCGATTCCAAAGTATAACTTCACATGATGCTCGACATTCTACATTTGAGGGAAGAAAGTGCTTCTTGTAAGAGCTTTCATAAAATACAACTTTATTCTGGTAACATTAGGGCTTGATTCTAATAATATTAGGACTTTATTCCCATAACGTTGCAACTTTATTCTTGTAATTTTATAACTTTATTCTCGTAATGTTGCAACTTTATTCTCATCATGTTACGACTTTATGCTTGTATTTTTATGACTTTATTCTTGTATTTTTATAACTTTATTCTTGTAATTTTATGACCTTACTCTTGTAATGTTACAACTTTATTCTCATAATTTTATGACTTTATTCTCATAATGTTGCGACTTTAAACTTGTGATGTAACAAATTTATTCTTGTAATTGTATGACTTTATTTTCATAATGTTACGACTTAATTCTCAAATAAATAAATAAAAAAAAGCCTGGCCCTAATACTACATTGTAATTGACAACAATCTATTTGTTATATTTGTATAACACTAATCAGCTTCACATCTGAAAGCTCTAGTAAATAGAGAAAACTGAGTGCTCCTCCCTCTGATTCTCTCTGATGCTCTAATATTTGCTACATCTGCAATAAGCTTATCTTTCTTGATGAGAAAAAACCTACAGATTTTGACCTATTAGAATTTGTCCATATGATAATAAAAGAACGGCTTTACAAATATGTTTTCTCCCCTTCCTGCTGGGAATGGTCGTCAGCGTTTTATATTAGCAGAGCAGATGTTGCTGCTGTGTGTGTGGGAGAGAGAGGAAATAATGACAGTGCTAACCTTTTAAACTCCCTTTCAGACTTAAAGGTACATTCATTATATTTTATAGCATGATTAGCACAACTAGAATGACTAACATCTAGCTTCTCCCCAGTCGTTCACCACAAGCATGTCAAAGCATGTAATCTTCTTATAAAAAGCTAAACCTCTGTACTTGATTTCAACATTTAAATGATAATCAAAATAGTGACTTTAAAACTTTGTCTCTGAGTATCAGATATGAATGGTGTAATCTCTGTTGGGTAAATGTCAGATTTGAACTATTTTAATTGTAGAGTTATAATGATTTTATAAAGAGTAATACAAATACACTTAGATTTACCCTGGGTAGAGTGATAGAAAGCACTAATTTAGTTAGATTTTAGTGTTTGTGCAAAGAGACATTCCAAAAAGGCTTTTTCTTTTTGCTGGCACCTTTAAGCCAGCTGAACAGCAGTGAAAGCAACTAATCCAGGAGAATCCAACACTCTTGTTTGAATCCCACAAGAATGTTAGAATCTAATTAAAGGGATTTTAGGAAATATGATAAATAATTGAATCAATATTAGCATAATTAATACTGGTAATACGCCAGGTGTATGTCTTCTAGAATAGTCTAATAATTTGTGAATGGATGCAAATTTTCTTGCCAATGTATTTAGTCTGTAACATATATCTACGTATTCAGTGACAGGGGACGGTACCTTGTGCCAATGTCGTTATTTGCAGCCAATCTGAATGTGTATCCACAGGCGGGCTGCAGCCGTGTCAGCTTGTAGTGTCTCTGGTTCCCAAAGTAGCAGTCTCGGAAAACACTGTTCCTCTTTCCCTGCAGAGGAAGAAAATTGACAAAAACAAAATGGGAAAATAAGGCTATTAACACAAAAAATACCTGAATTCACTGTGAACAGTATATAATATATAGTATAGTATATAATAATATATTAAATTGTTAAATACTATACTATAAATTGCAATATAGTAATAAAAAGCAAAACGACAAAATTGTTGACTCAATAATAATACTAACAGTCCAAATGCTGTAACTCTTAAAAGCTGCATGTCAATACTTTTAAAGGACATGTCAGCTCCTTAATGAGTCTCTTTTTATGGAAATATCAAGGGTAGGCTCACCTCATCCCACTCAAGCTGGTAGTTTGTGATTTTGGATCCATTGTCGCCTGGAGGCTGCGGATGGCAAAGGGAGGAAGACCAGAGGAGAGAGAAATCAGCGATTTAACCCAGGGTGAGATATCCTGATAATGAGCCTAACAGTGAACCAGTTGTGGTTTTGTGATTGACCTTATATCATGTCTGGATGAAATGAAAGTCTAAGGGGCGTAAAAATCACTTTTGCATTGGGAGGTCAGGGGAGACAGGCAAAAGCAGATGTTAAAATGTTAAATGATGAAACAGGCAAATAATAAGACTCAAGTAAATAAGAAAACTAAATCACTTTGTAAAGAAAGCAGTTGAACAACTCAAATGTATACTTATTCAATAAAAACCTAAAAACCTCTGGCTTAAATTTCCTGACTCAACTTTCTTACTTATAATATTCCCTTACGTGCCTTAAATGAAACTATATTGTTCACTTTGAATCTAGAGAATCCCACAGATATATAGGAGAAGGCTGTGAGGGAAGCGGAAAAGGAGGAATCCAAGAAAGGGAGAACTTAGTGGAAAGGAAAAGAGGGTGTTGACATCTTATAGACAAAAGTTGAGCAACAGGTCCAAAATACAAATATTTTCAATATGTTTTTATTTTCAATACTTGAAAAGCTAATAAATACTGAAATCATCTTTCATGCATTGACAAATATGGTATGAACCCTGTTTAGTGGACCTAGGTTGTAACATCCAGCCTTGTCGATACATTTATACAACTTAACTTGTTTTAGCTGGAATTTATCAGATAGACCAACAAATATTAGTGCATAATCATAAGGTGAAGGGAAATTGTAATGTTTTGTTGGAATTTTTTACCATCAGAAATCTGAAAAGTTTGGCATGCATTGTGCATTTAACCCTCATCTTTCTGATGCATGAAATCCAACATGACGTGCCCATCCACATAAGCTAACAGGCCAGTCAAAAGGAGTGCTAATAGTGAAGCAGCCTCTAGGCTCACAATGAATACAGGGCAAACTGCAAACACAATTAGATTTGTTCATTTCATTTCCACACTATCTGTGCACTCAGATATAATGATATGCATCCGTACCTTCCACTGTAGGCTGAGGCTCGTCTTTGTGCGGTGGGAGAGTTTAGGGGGTAACGGGACATCAGGGGCACTACAGTGTGTGGTAAACGAGCCGACCTCTGAATACGAGCCTCGGACTGAGTTGTACAGTGCCAAAACCCTGAAACAACAGAGCCATAAAGCCTTAGACACTATTTTACTGAACTTCAAAAGGTAAAGCTTTAGATTTAATGTGAGAAAAAAACATTTAAACACAATAGTTTGATCCAGGCAACAATTTTCATAGAAATCTTCAGCTCTTACCGTACATGGTAGTCTGTTGCTGGCCTTAGGTCTTTCAGGTGGTATTCCAATTCTTCCCCACTGAAATATTCCAACCAAAAAAGAATTACATCAACATGCTAACATTAAGCTTGCTATATAAGGAATGTATGGGTAGAACTCCCTTAATTTCTTCAGCATGACAGTTTCCTACCTGTATATAACGCGATACTTTCCATCCTTTCCCTTGTCTGAGAGCGTCAACTCATAGGAGCAGGTAACAGGTATCCCGTTACTGTGCCTGTTTACCAGCCCAGCTGGAGGGGCCCAGGACAGCCGAGCAGCCCGTGCCTGGATGTTAGACACCTAAGATTCACACAAAAATATTCCATTTGGTGAAAATTCATTCCAAATTAAAAGCACATACATTTCATCATGTTTAGAATATGTTTTAATTTAAATTTACACATCTATATTACTCTAACCCTGCAGTTATAACCTGATTCTATTCTTTATGTTTTTGATGTTTGCCAGATTGATGCATTTGTGAAACTTGAAGGCATGATGGAGGATGTTCTTTTTACCGGGTGGATCATCAAAATAAGTGGTCCTCCTAATTGTCAATCATTCTGGTGATGTGTTTACGTAAGGTTGTCAAATGTGCTCGTCCCCATTTTCACTTACCGATGTTATGCTGAGAAATAACTGCCTGCCGAGAATTACCTCCCCTCTCGCCCACTGATGATAAAACGAATTGAAATATGAACGAAAACGAAACTTTTAAACATATTCTTATTGTTTTCATATTTCTTATGCATGTATGCCCTGAAATTGAGAGTTTTGGTGGACAGATAAAGTCGAATGAATACGATTTGTACTTGTATGGAGGCAAGTTTTAGTCGATGTGCTACAGTCAGTGTCCGATGAATATATTTTCTGCTTAGTGGATAGCATTTCCCGCTTTTGCTATCAACACTGTTTTATATCATTTCTGACAAAAGATTGAGAATATGTTTAAAAGTTCCCTTTTCGTTTATATTTCAATCAGCTTTCTCATCAATGTGCAAGAGTTTAGGGCGATGCCTGCTCCCTTGACAGGGGAGGAAATTCTCGGTAGGCAGGTATTTCTCAGTATAACACATGTTGTGAGTCTGATGTGGTGAAAAAATTGCAAATCTTCTTTTGGAAAGTAAGCTTGTATTAGGGATGCAAACAGCAATTTTTAAACAGCCTACACGAGGAGAAATGGGCTGGTGCATGCTCTCACAAGTGTTAAATTGGGTTGTGCATGTGCTTTTTTTTTAAGTGGAGAGGGCGATTTTTTTCAAAAATTCGTGAAAATCCTTCACTACACCTTTAACAGGAGGATGGAATTCCTCAATACGCCTTGATATGACTCATCAGTCAGTAGTTGAAAACTAGATAATACAGAACTGGTTATTTTAGAGAAAGGTCTATCCAAACAGACAGCTGTGTAAGCTGGTAGACCACAAAATAGATCCATATGTTACTGCCGAGATTTCAGTAAGGCACCTTAAATTTCTAAATCCAGCAGACAGACAGTAAACGCTCAAAAGAAGAACTTAACTTTGCATGAAACTTTAATGATATGTCCTGAAAACTGCAACCTTATTTTTTTCTCCTCTATACTAAAGAGTAGCTAATTTTTTAGTAAATTAAAGTTAATTTTTCACTATAATCCAAACCGGGTGTTTTATTTCTAGCACAACCCTATTCTGCTTTTATATTGTTTCAGGGTTTTCAAATTAATATTCCGTGCTAATAAAACAGCATCAGGTTTTAGTCGAAAATTACCTTACACTGAATACTTCACTTGCAAGCCAACAATCTGAGTACTAAATGCAGCAGGTCTTAATATTTTCTTAGATAAACTTGCACCAGTACCCTTACTGTCAATGTGTTTGTTTATGCATAAGTATTTTTTAATTTTCAATTTATTAAAATAAGAAAGGGACAAGTTACCATTCATAAAGTTGAAAAAATGGTCAGTGAAAATGTACATTTCTTTTTCTCTTAACTCTCATGTCCACAATTCATTACATCACCTCAGGGGTCATCTGAGGGTAAAAAGTGCAGTAAATAGCTTCTTAATTCAAAGTCTTTTTTCGGTTATCTCCATCACCCTTATTGCTAAATTTCCCTGTAGTTCATAGATCTATTCTGCTGTTTTATAACATCTCTGTCATAAACTGACTATGTTCAATGGTCCAGTTGCATAGCCTGCTGTTTGAACTCTCAGATGAGATTCTTTTTTTTTTTTTTTTTCATACGAAAAATAGGTCTGCACAGCATAAGCTCATTTACCCACACTCCCCCTGAGGGAATCAAAAAACATGAGTGTTTTTTTCCAGCTGATGGAGGCGAGATGAGACATGGATGAATAGATGCTGCCCTCGTGTGGCGACAGTTAGCACAGCTTGTGCTATAAATTTATAAAGTCACCACTGCAAACATTGTCAGTACAGACTTCAGTTTTCATATTAGCCCCAGTGAGGAGATGCACATACTAAAAAGACATTAGTGCTCATGCCAGAGATGACTACATCAGACAACGGGTTGATTGATGAAAGTGGTTACATGTCTGCTTCCGTGTGCTTAACTGCAGTACTTTTTAAGAGGCATTCATACCCACCTGTGGTTTTTCGATTGTAGACAGCATGTCTTGAACACGTTTCCCTTCTGAATCATGATCTAGGCAGACAGAGGGAAGAAAAATTGAGTAATTAACAAAAAGAAGCTTAACTAAGCACTTTTTAAGGACAGTTTGACTAGATAGATATTGGCACAAGCTTATTCAGAACTACACTCTGCAAACACTGTATCTATGTTTAAAACAACCAAAAATAAAAATTTGGGCAAATTTTGAAAACTGTTTGCATTTGCCAAAAGTATTCATACCCCTTGAACTCTTTTTTCACTAAAACATTACAACCACCCAGTTTAATGCATTTTATATAGACTTCATACAAGTCTCTTTTCAACAAGGAAAATAGAAACTAGTATTTTTTTTATCTAATCTTATTAGAAGCTGTTTAGCTTCAAATCAATAAAAGCAATATTAGGCAATCTGTATTTTTAAAACAATGGTTAGGTAAACAAGTATTAGTGCCTGTGGGTATAATATGACTAATTATGGCAGACAAGAAAACATTGATTGCCTTAATGTACTAGGTTTGATACTAAATTGCCTCTTGATGTAAGAAATTAAGCAAATTTAGTTATTATTTTGTTATATTTTGATGTTTTGTATTTAGTAAATCATGAAAATAACTATGAGCTCTTAAATTAAACTCATAAGGTGTTTTTGTTGTTATTATCATATTGATCAAAACAGATTTACCTTCATTTTTAGCAGTCATTAAATTAGGAAGAAATTTAAGGAACAAGGGTGATACGTTTTTCATATCAGGGACTGCATTTAAACATTCCTCGAAACATCTGCTTTGGATGAACCCCCATGTCTTGGTTAACTTTCTATTTTATTTTGGGTCATCAGAGTAAATAAGTAAAATACTTTTGACAGACAATTTCTAGCTAAAAAAATGCAAGATTAAAAAAAACATAACAAAATGTCTGAACATATTCTATGCAACTAATCTTGCAATAGTGTAAAGACAGACGCAAATTCCACTGAGCGACTGTTGACATATGGTGGGTGATGCAACTAGTTTTCTTCAGCATGCTCATATTTCATCTCCAAAAGTCGTGAGGAACAGAGTTCTTGGAAAACACATAAAATTATCCACGATTCCACTGAAAAGAATTAGTAACCGGTTCCTCACCCAGCAGAAACAAAATGGTGATCACAAAGAGAAAAAAAATGCAAAGCCTAATTTCCTCCGTAGACAAGAAACAACATTCTAAAGTAATTTCTTCTCAGAAAACATCATCCCAATCATTATTATGCACTATTTATAATCACTTATTCTTGAACAGAGGAATGAGGTTTTTGGAATGGTTGTGTTTTCCAGTGCGCTCAAATACAAAAGCAAAAATGATGATGTAATAAGTAGAAAATCGTGATAGCAGTTTAATAAGGGGAATTGCCTTCTGAGAAAATGTACAACCCTTTTTTTCAGAAATGTTTTGCTAAATCATCCCTGTGCCTCAAATACAAAACATCTCTGACCTTATTTACATCTGGAATGTGTCATGTGGCATAAATCTGATATTTGTATTATTTATTGTGATAATAATAAAAGTCATAATAACAATATTTAATAAAAAAAAAATCTCACTTTATTTAGCCATAAAGCTAAGCAGAGCCACAGAACCCTAAATAGTAAACAATCAAATAAGCATCTCTAAGACATCTCTGACATCTATTAATGCTATTCTAAACAACAAGTACATTCAATCATACTTATACGTAGTAATAAGTATTTTATGCCCCTACAATAGAGGTAGAATTATAATAAATGTTCAAACAGTAAAAGTAAGAAAAATGTATGTTATTTTAGGAATACTAAAACTAAATACTAAATAATCTTCAGCAGAGGTGTGAAAAGTATTAGTATTTATTACTCAAATAGAAGTATAAATTCTTATGTTTAAAAGTACTTTTGTAGAAGTTAGAATATCAACAGCAAGATGCTGGGTATGAAAATTGTCCCGTGTTTTATTTTATTCAGCATTGTATTGTCATTACACTGTCACAAGTACAGAGCAATGAAATGCACTCTGTGCATTTAACCCATCCCTCTTGGGGAGCAGTGGGCTGCATTTGTGCGGCCCCCAGCAGTGAGGGGTTAAAGGAATAGTACACCCAAAACATGATTAGCCTTCATTTTCTACTCACCCCCATGCTGAACAACACTCTGGAGTACTTTTTTGATATCTCAAATGCATCTGGAGATCTGGGAGGCTTCTTGCTGTCTGCTGATATTCAAATAATGGAGGTCTATGGTGCCCGAGACAGAAAGGTCCATAAAAGTCCACAAAAAACGTGTCAATATTCCTCCATACTGCTCGTCCAATGTATTCCAAGTGTCCTGAGTGGGTAGCATCCAGAATTTACTTGAAACGAAGTCATTTAGAATGTTTTTAGAGCATAAACAGTAGTGTATAGGATTTCCTAAAAGCGTGTTCACGAGTCTACGGAAACCGCGGCAGACCAAACCAGATGAAAGTGCGCATTCAGCTCGGCAAAGAACTCATGCCCTTCCTCAACACTGAAGTCCTCAGACATTTTTCTTTCGTTGTTTCTTTCTTTGCACAGGTAAACAGCACATTTCTTCTTCTACGCTTGCATTATCGGCAGAGCAGACGCTGAATATGCACTTTCATCTATATCCTATATAGATGAAAGTGCTATCCTATATACTACTGTTTATGCTCTAAAAACATTCTAAATGACTTCGTTTCGAGTAAATTATGGACGCTACCCACTCAGGACACTTGGAATACATTGGACGAGCAGTATGGAGGAATATTGACACATTTTTTGTGGACTTTTATGGACCTTTCTGCCTCGGGCGCCATAGACCTCCATTATTTGAATATCAGCAGACAGCAAGAAGCCTCCCAGATCTCCAGATGTATTTGAGATATCAAAAAAGTACTCCAGAGTGTTGTTCAGCATGGGGGTGAGTAGAAAATGAAGGCTAATCATGTTTTGGGTGTACTATTCCTTTAAGGGTCTTGCTCAGGAACCCAGAGTGGTAGTCCGTGAGAGTGGGGCCTAAGGACCCCCACTGGCAACTCATTCCCCCCAGCTGGGATACGAACCCAGGCTTCCTGTTTGCAGGCGGGTGACTTACCACTTGCCAGTCGCTAAAATGACAGCATGACAGTTTTAACCCCTTATACATCTCAGAGGGTGATCTGAGATGTTAATTTTCTGTTGTCAGATAATTAACAAATTTGAAAATAACAAACAGTGACTACATGATATAAATGTTGGAACACATGATGACTATTGTTGCTATTGGTGGAGATAAAATACACTGAGCTCGGTGTGTTTAAAATGTTCACTTAATGCTGCAGTATTTTTGTCATGTCTTTTTAAGTAAACAATGACATAGTGGAATACCCCCAGTGGCCATTTTTGATGATGTTCTGATTCTTATAAACTGAGTTTTTAATGACTGCATACTTAGTCCAAGTGAGGACACAGAGAGTTCATCTGTTTAAGCCCAGTCTGACAGGGGGTGAGAGCCTTACTCTGCCTGGGGGTTTACTTATGACTCATGGTAACAATGATGTCATGGAATTACAACCTCAACTTGACCTCCCTGCGTGTAACTGTGTATTGGAATTAAAAACAAAAGCATAAAAAGACTGTGAGCGTGTGGGAAGGTGTCAGGTTACAAAAAAACTGTGATGAGCGACAATAGGAGTGTGATTAAGTCGCTGTGTGCAGATGTGTGTGTGGAGTCTGGTAGTTCAACAGGTGAAGCATAAAATCTGCATCACTGTGTGACACAGTGGCTCATTAGTACATTTATTTCTATATGAGCACTTTATTCCTCATTCACCCTTTAAAATAAATTGTGATTTTACTTTGAACCCTTGAAAGGACTCTGGCTGGTTTTCACAGAAATGGGCCTTCTCATTACTGTGATGTTTCTCTTTTTTTTTAAGAGGTCCACAGCAGTGTAAAGTGATATAAAAAGTAATTTGGACAATTTACTTTATTGCTTTAGCCACATGTTTACATTTCATTGATCCACTGAAAGGTTGACCTCTTTTGCAGCCTCTCTCTCAGAGGGTTTTCCTCCAGAAATTGCACTGTATTTGGCTTTAACAATTTTCCAACTGACTCCTAGCGGCTTCTCTACTGTGAAAGAATAGCATTACCACAGCATGATGCTGCCACCTCCCTGTTTTATTGTACAGGGAAATAATTGAGCTTGATGTTCAGTGTCAGCTCTAAATCACACTGGCAACTTTCTGAACAGTTCACTCTGGATTCTTTTTAGGATAAGTTTAGGCGAAATCCACTCTTTCATTTGATAATGATAATAATAATAACAACAATAATAATAATAATAATAATAATTTAACTTTATTGATCTCACACTGGAGAAATTCAACCCATCACCTTGAGGAGCAGTGGGCTGCCATTGTGCGGCACCCGGGGAGGAGTGTGGGGTTAAAAGTCTTTGCTTAGAGACGCAGAGTGGCAGTCTGTGGGAGTGGGGCTCGAACTTAGAACCTCAGGATTCTGACCACCAGGCCACCACTCCCCAAGTAGGAAAACTCGTCATTCAATCAAATGATTCCCGCAGTGTTCAGTGCATACTAACTTCTGCTCTTATCCCTATAGAAGGTATGTGCAATGTCAAATATTGTGGTTTTCTATTCCCAGAACAAAATTTTCATCGTTCATGGTGTCAAATAACTCCCATCCAGTACCTAATATGGCTGTCAGTCCCTATTTCTAAAGGATGAGGCTGGACGGCATCAATCAACAGCACCACAAAGCCAGTGTGAACTACTGCATTGACTACAATGGCTTTGCGATGGAAAGCAAAAATTCTCAAATGAAAAAGTTACTTTTAACTGTGCATAAAGACCAAAAGAAAAATTATTATCCAAACTGATTAGAGAATCTTTTTCACTTTTTCGCAACGGGAACCTAAAGGTTAGGTTACTTTAATTATGATTAAATGAGTTTTATTTACTATTGTTTGCAGGAATAGTCTTCCACACCTATGCGGCAGAGTGATAAACATAGACGTAATTAATAT